AACTATATACTGCACATTGTTTTATTTGAAACTGCCCGCTTGAGAGTGAAGGTTGCTTCATGTATTTGAAAACAGAATATGCATAAAAACTAATGTGTATATATTTAAGTATAGGTTTGTGTTAGTTGGTCAGTATTTGTCTGGCACGACAGGTTTAATGAAAATAATACCGCCTCAACTAAAACTGACGTGCTAGTGGTTTAAACCAAGTTGGTGAATCTTTACACAGAGGAAGTTTGGTTTATACAGAATTTATTTTAGTTCGACTGTGTAGGAAGCTATAAGCTTATAGACACACTTTCGAATCCTTTCCTGGAATAAACCAGTACTGAGCAATGAGTGTAAAATTTCTTGCTCAAGGATATATATGTACCCGACAGTGGTATAAGAACTGAACAAATGTAGGCAACTATCGCAATTTAAACTAACTGTACTCTATTACCGTATGGAATAATTTGCATTTATTGTATTATACGTTAAACATGATGACGGCCAATATACGTGTGAGCATTTACCTTGACCTTGGCGTCTTGTTTTCGGCGCTTATGAATAAAAATAAAATGGCTTTGGAACTTATAGTTATGTTTCATAGTCATTCATAACTCTTGCTGACTGACTTCATTGCATAAATATAAGTTTAAGGTAAATGCAAACAAAACATTGATTAATATTATACCTCATTTGCATATGCTCTTCTATATTTAATATGACGTCATCCGGTCCATAAACCGCATACAGACCGGGGGCGGTCCATAATTCTTATGAAGACCGTTTAAACGTAACTTTCAAGACGTGCGAATTACACGACGACACAAACAGACGATACCAGGCGATTCGCCTTTTTTTATCAGAGACATAAATGTATTACATGTTGATCAAAAGTCATGATTTGTCTTAAATTTAATTTTAAATTTTATTTATACAGCTTGTGAAATTCTTAAAGTCCGGGTTTTTTTCCTAGTAACATTAAATATTTAATTTGATTAACAAAAATGGAATGTTAAAAGAAGAGAATGACTTTTTGCTGCATCGCTTGAAAATAATAAAACAAAATCCTACTAGGGTTTGAGATATTTCACACACTGAACAAGTAAAATTATTAATTGAAAGCAAATAATAGTAAAATGACAGCACAAAACAAATGGATGAAAGGATTTAAATTCGGTATAATATAACAAATAAAACATGGGCTTGAGGGCAAAATGCAAATTTACGGACTGGTTGGTCAGACCTCGGAAGGAATATGGCCCTCAGCTGCGCTTCGGGCCATATACCTTCCTCAGTCTGACCAACCAGTCCGTAAACTTGCATATTGCCCTCAAGCCCATGTTTTATTTGTTAACTATTGACAACATTTTGATAATGTCATAAATGTACATAATCATTCAAAACTATTTGCTAAGTATATTATTATAGATTATAGAGAGAACGTGATACCGTATTCAGTAAATTTCATCACGTCAAGTCATTTAACTTGGATACATTTTAGGTTCTACAAAACCAAATTTGTTTCTGCTATAAACAATTAAAATATTCTTTCTTATGTAAGATACATAAGATACAGTGAGATGACACTTTACATTTTTTTCTAATTAAAACAAAATATAAAGGTTGTCAATATACATAACTGTGTTAAACAATCTTTTTCTGGAGTAATCTCCCCTTCATTTAGTAACTGGATCACAGGTGAACATGCCACTTATTTGCAACTGTATTTAACTGTCTAACTTCTCAAATTTAGCAATTTCATGTAAATACATGTACATTGTATTTGGATATCTGTTTGAAAATAAAGCAGAACAAGTCCTTTGTGTAAGTTTAACAACCATTGTAAATACTGAATCTTATATTTCTTAATTTCTCGTTTGTTTCACAATATGTACATGTATAAATGTGCTTTAATAGAAGATTTAATCTACAAATTTAATTTGTATAAGTTAAACATCATTGTATTTAATATTTCAATATCAAATCTTATTAATATATATGTGCTGATAAAGCAAATACCTTCAACATTTTATCTATAACACGTCTTACGATAGTTCATGCTCTAGTTAATACGAAATACCCGTATGTACTATATCACAAGAGGAAGTTAATTTGTTGAACTTTATTTTCTGAAAATTGCGAGTGAACACTTTATTTAACTAACAATTTGAAGAAAAATATGAGAAGTGTTTTAAGTTATATGTTTTAACGGATAACTTTAATGTATATTATGCTCATAAAGCAGGACAATAAAGCAGGACAACATACAAGGTTATAAAATCGAAACAAGAATCAAGTTATTACACGAATTATTGTCACATGTAAAGTTCGTCAGTATGGCGGTTTCTGGAAGAAAAGCAGTGGCACCAATCACAGGTTGGTTTGATAGTGATAAAAATCATTTTTGTGATCCGTGTAAAACTGATGGTCAAAGTGTAAAAGCACGAGGATATTGTGAAGATTGCCAGGAATATTTATGCAGCTCGTGCTTTTCTTCTCATAGGAAAACAAAGGCGTCAAAACATCATAAATTACACGAACGATCCGACGCTACAAATACATCTATATTAGATGATAAATGCCCATTTCATGACATCGAAATTGTCAAGTTTTTCTGTCCTAGGCACACAGAACTAGGATGTCATGATTGTATGGTACTTAAGCATAGAACATGTGAACTTGATTATATCCCTGACACATGTAAAGGTATAGGTGACAGTAAAGAGTACGATGACACGTTGAAAATGCTGGAGTTAAAGTTACAAGCAACAAAAAATTTAGACAGAGAAATTTCTGACAAAAATACGGAAGCAGATGATTGTTTAACTCAAGCGCTTAAAGATATTGACGACTTTGAGTACCTACTCATCAACCGTATAAAAGAAATGAAAGCTAAAGCTGTTGAAAATGCAAAACAAATGAATGAATCAAACAAAAGGACATTAAAGACAGCGCATGTAGAATGCAGTAAAGTTTCCTCAGAAATGAAACAACTTCAAGCCAGTCTAAGAGACAACAAAACATCCGGGAAGGAAAGGGAAATATTCATAGCTGTAAAGAAAGCTAAATCTCTAGCCGATGATGAAAAGAACACTGAAGTTTTAACAGTACTAAGGAAACTTAAAACAACATGCACCTTCAAACGGAAGGAAGAGATAGAAACTGCTTTATTTAAGAACACTTTATTTGGGACATTGGACACGACTCGTTTTGTAAGCTCCTTACAGCATTTAAGGGACATTAAAATAAAAACTTTATCAGATGTAAATAAATGCTCCATAGCAGGATGCTCATTTATTCCACCAGATAAAGTTTTACTTGCAGATGAAATGAGCTACAAACTTAAACTGTTTGATATCAACAATGACCGTTTGATAAAAGAAAGACAGGAACCGGGAGGCCCACGTGGCGTTGGTCTAATGTCTCAAGATGAAGTAGCTGTTGCGATGAAAAATATGAAAGCAGTTCAAATTTTCAAGACTTATGATGACCTATCCCTAGTTCGAACTGTCCAACTAGATAGAACGTGTTATAATGTCACATATAACCAAGGAATGCTGTATGTTGTTTGTTGGGATCCACACAGTGTGTTAGTATTAGATCTTAATGGAACAGTGCAGACAGAAATTCCACTGAAAACATCTACCATTGACTTGACTTTTCCAGTTGGTATTGCTGTAAGTGCAGACTCTAAATATGTATATGTAAGTGACAGATATTTACTTAACAATAACATTGTACGCCTCACAACCAATGGAAATGTAGCAAGTATTTACAATGACAAGAAAATCAAATCATCTTCTGGGATAATCAGTCTGGAGGATGGATCACTTCTTGTCTGTTGCTGTAACAGCAATACTGTATACAGAATTTCTGAAGATTTCAAGACAGGATTTAAAGTTCTCAATGATATAGCATCACCAAGACGTATATGTATAGATAATAACGGTGATAAAATGTACATTGGTTGTGACAATGACACATTGAAAGTGTGTAAAGTGGTTTATCAGAAATAAGAAAGAAATGATGATGATGATAACGTGATGATAACGTTGATTATAAGGATAACGTGATAGTTGATGATCTAACGCTAGTTATACAATTTTAACATTTTTGTCAGAAATAGATGAAGAAATGTTAAATATGAGGCTATGATAGTTAAAGCAATATCAGTGGGAAGAGATATTTTATATTCGGAGAGTGGGGGAATGCAATAAATATTACCAAGTCTAAAAAGAAAGGAAAAAGAAAAATGTACATAATTTCACATAATATGCACATGTATATAAAATAAATATCTATTTTAATGGCACGTATATTCATTTTGATAGACGTTTTTCTTGTATGTTAATTTCAATATCACGCAATCCTTACTGTTGATTAAGTCACGTTCTTCAAATTTGATGAATAATATTAACATTGAAGTTTCTTAGCCGACAAAAAGGAAGAAGTCCCACATTTTAGTTATTTTGATCCATTAGATGTCATTACATTCTATATACAAAGCTTAACATATGTTCTTACTTAAAAACTAGAAAACATCTTATCAATTCAAGGCATTCATTTACACCCTACACGTGCACGCGCGCACATACACGCATATTTGTAAATGACTTGTCAATAAAGATAATTATTGTCGCAATAAATTATAGATTTCTTATTAGTTATTCTTTTTAATACATAAATGATTATTTGTTAATGGGAGATAACTTTCTTTAAATCATATTTAAATATAATAGTTATTTACTCCCCTTTTGAATAACAGATATTTACATTTGTTTTAGCAGAAACACCCCTTGATGTCGCCCCAGCCAGTGTTATACCCTCGTAACTAACTCGTTTCATATACTATAACTATTACATAGAAGATATAGTGAAAGTAATTTTGTTATAAGAGCCGCCATATTAGATTTTCTCAAATAATGACATCACAGTGGAAACACCCTGTCACATGATACGTCACATGAAACAAGTTGAAAAATCAAATACTTCAAATATAACTGAATACTCACTAGTGTACATAATTTTTAATCAAATGTTTTACAATTTAAGACATTAGTATTTATACAAAAAAATGATACGCATATTATATTTATATAACATACAATGTTAAATATTAAATGAATAGAATCGAAAAACAGCAACAACAACAATATTGAGCTGAGCATATAATCTCGAATTTCCTGCCAACGACGATTTTTTTAAAATATAGAAATGCTCAAATTCATTCTTATCATATATGGCTTTTAGATAATATTTCTTAACTGGAATAGATGAAAACCCTTTTGATCTATATTTTTATCAAATAATAAAATAAAAAGATCAATTACAAATACGTTTTTGATATCAACATGTACGACGTTGACTTCGAAGGTCAATTTACCTAAGGAATTTCATTACATCCATTTCTACACCGTCATTTTACAACACAAGGGACAAATAGTTATCACCATTAAAGTTGACTATTTCAATACTTTATACGCGAAGAGCATTTGCATGGGATATTTTCAGAAAATTTCGAAGTAAGTTTTTGTTAAATAAAAACAATCCTAACTGATACGTGATATTGTTGTGCTGTTTTTATCAAACACTTTTTTACAATGTACGCGTTCGTTGTAAATGTACATATACATTACAAAAGGTAAATACTTTAGATAAAATATTTTGAACGCGTAAAACATGATAAAATGGTCAAATAATGATTATTATTAGTGAAGTAATCAATAAGCTATAAAACGAGTTTGATATATGTTTCAAAAAATGACACTAGATCATAGCCGACAATTTACATAATCAGACAGAATATCAAAAGTCAACATACATGACACTGTAAAATATAACTGGTTTTACAATTATTATGATACAATTTTTATTCATCATATAAACTCTTTACATAATTAAGATAAAATTTTGCCAATTGAAATATCATAATTCGTTGAACTTCCACTCAATACACCCATACCAAGCACACTTTCTCTGTCAGGTGCTGTTATATGAATCATCACGCAATACATCAAAACGTCGGCTTGAATTTTATAAAATATCCCAGTGCATACATCATAACAAAACAAAACAAGATTTTTAATCAGCAGTCTCAATATATTTAAAAAAGTTTTAGCGTAAATTGAAAATGGGCGGGGCTGAGGTAACCATTATTTTTGTCCGGCGCTTATCACGTGATTTCATGGTTACGTTCAAAGAGTTATTTACACGGATTGCCCGAGCGACATTTCTCACAAAGTGCCGACATATGTGGTTTATTTGGGTCGGTATGACGGGTCTTGTCACACTTGCATGTTCTAGCAACTTCCCCACAACGAGAGCACATTGTCTCCTCCACTCTATATGGCTGGCACATGACCTTACATTTCTTGCACTCTTGTCCCCAGTACTAGAAAACAAAATTAGGAAAATGTGAGGACAATAAATATATTTTTGTTGCCATAGAAAAATGTTTCACATGTGCCGCACCAAATACTGGATGTGCCGCACCAAATACTGGATGTGCCGCACCAAAAACTGGATGTACCACACCAAATACTGGACGTACCGCACCAAATACTAGATGTACCACACCAAATACTAGATGTGCCGTACCGCAAAATACTGGATGTGCCACACCAAATACTGGATGTACCGCACCAAATACTGGATGTACCGCACCAAATACTGGATGTGCCGCGCACCAAATACTGGATGTGTGCCACCAAATACTGGACGTACCACACCAAATACTGGATGTGCCGCACCAAATACTGGATGTGCCACACCAAAGTACTGGACGTCACACCAAATATGGATGTGCCGTACCGCACCAAATACTGGATGCCGTACCGCACCAAATACTGGATGTGCCGCACCAAATACTGGATGTATCGCACCAAATATTGGATGTGCCGCACCAAATACTGGATGTGCCGTACCGCACCAAATACTGGATGTGCCGCACCAAATACTGGATGTGCCGCACCAAATACTGGATGTGCCGCACCAAATACTGGATGTGCCGCACCAAATACTGGATGTACCGCACCAAATACTGGATGTGCCACACCAAATACTGATGTGCCGCACCAAATACTGGATGTACCGTACCAAATACTGGATGTACCACGCCAAATACTGGACGTACCACACCAAATACTGGATGTGCCACACCAAATACTGGGTGTACCACAACAAATACTGGATGTACCACACCAAATACTGGATGTGCCACACCAAATACTGGATGTGCCACGCCAAAAACTGGATGTGCCACACCAAAATACTGGATGTGCCACACCAAATACTGGATGTACCGCACCAAATACTGGACGTACCACACCAAATACTGGATGTGCCGCACAAATACTGGATGTACCGCACCAAATACTGGATGTGCCTCATCAAATACTGGATGTGCCGCACCAAATACTGGATGTGCCGTACCGCACCAAATACTGGATATGCCGCACCAAATACTGAATGTGCCCGCACCAAATACTGGATGTGCCGCACCAAGTACTGGATGTGCCGCACCAAATACTGGATGTGCCGCACCAAATACTGGACGTACCGCACCAAATACTGGATGTGCCGCACCAAATACTGGATGTGCCGTACCAAATACTGGATGTGCCACACCAAATACTGGATGTACCGCACCAAATACTGGATGTGCCGCACCAAATACTGGATGTACCGTACCAAATACTGGATGTGCCGCACCAAATACTGGACGTACCGCAACAAATACTGGATGTGCCGTACCGCACCAAATACTGGATGTGCCGCACCAAATACTGGATGTGCCGCACCAAATACTGGATGTGCCGTACCTGATACTGGATGTACCACACGTCAAATACTGGATGTGCCGTACCACACCAAATACTGGATGTGCCGTACCGCACCAAATACTGGATGTGCCGCACCAAATACTGAATGTGTACCACACCAAATACTGGATGTGCCACACCAAATACTGGATGTGTCACACCAAATACTGGATGTACCACACCAAATACTGGATGTACCACACCAAATACTGGATGTACCGTACCAAATACTGGATGTGCCGCACCAAATACTGGATGTACCTCAACAAATACTGGATGTGCCGTACCGCACCAAATACTGGATGTGCCGCACCAAATACTGGATGTACCGCACCAAATACTGGATGTGCCGCACCAAATACTGGACATACCGCAACAAATACTGGATGTGCCGTACCGCACCAAATACTGGATGTGTACCGCACCAAATACTGGATGTACCGCACCAAATACTGGATGTGCCACACCAAATACTGGATGTGCCGTACCTCACCAAATAGTGGATGTACCACAAACAAATTCTGGATGTGCCTTACCGCACCAAATACTGGATGTGCCGCACCAAATACTGGACGTACCACACCAAATACTGGATGTACCGCACCAAATATTGGATGTACCGCACCAAATACTGGACGTACCACAACAAATACTGGATGTTCCACAACAAATACTGGATGTTCCACACCAAATACTGGACGTACCACACCAAATACTGGACGTACCACACCAAATATTGGATGTACCGCACCAAATACTGGATGTGCCGCACCAAGTACTGGAACAACAGACGCCAAATTCCGTTTATCTATCGTTTTCTTGTTACAATATCACATACAAATAAGCAATACATTATTTAGTATTTCAAGCAATAACAGATATAGTTTGTATTCAAAATACATATAATGAGAATTCATTGAGGCTAAAACTAAAAATACAATTACCGTTGTTGCTCCAGGTCTTTGAAAAACCTTGGCACTTTCCCATTGGGACTTACAGTTGGAACATTCGAAAAATCCATACATTGTTAACCTTGCAAACAATCCTGACAAAAATCGAGTACTATTCGAATTCAATTATGCAGTGTTGTATTAATTAAAAACAATCATATCATTTTTTGATAACAACAGGAAGATTTTTTGATAGGTAAACAAATAACTATATAGTGATAGTATGCTCACCTATTACATGTAAACATATCAGCAGTAACTGCTTTTAATCTTATCATAGATTGACGTTATAAAAAGTAAACTCTTGAAAAAATTAAATGAAACAAGTAACAGCTATGTTTTGATTTGTGTCGTTACAAAACGCATTAACAAAGGGTAAGTAAATGAATAAGCCTTAGAAAGATTGATTCAAATATAGAAAAGGTTTAGATTTCTATTTCTTACACACATTTTGATTTCTATAAACATTCTAATTTGGTTTAGATAAAGATATTCTCATTTGGTTGAATAAGAATTTTTTTTTTCATGCTGTTGAATAAGAAATATCAGAAATAGTCTGGTTCGTTTAAGAGAGAAATAGTGTGATCTGTTTAAAAATGAAATATCTATGTTTGTTTCAATTAGAAATATTCTGATTTGTTGAATGAGAAATATTCTGATTTTGTTGAATGAGAAATATACTTGGCTGGATGAATGAGAAATGTTCTAATTGTGTAGGCTCATAGAAATTATTCTGATTTGAATGAAAGAGAAATATTCTAATTTGGTTGAATGAACTATTCTATTTGGCTGAATTATAAATATGAGAACTATTCTATTTGGATGAAAGAGGAATATTCTGGTTTGTTTAAATGAAATATATTGTGATTTGGTCGAATAAGAAATATTTTGACTGATGAATAAAAATATTCTGCTTTGGTCGAATGAGAAATATTCTGGTTTGTTCGAATGAGAAATATTCTCTGGTTTATTTGAATATTGTTATTTGGTTGAATTGGTAATAGTGTGACTTTGATAGATTTTAGTCTAAACATATTTCATTGTATATAATTTATATACATACATAAAATTTCACAATAATACACAAATAAACATAAATACATTAATGCAAATAAGAAAAAAGGGGTAGGGCCAAAAGTTATAACAACATTTTCGCCCACATGAATGAGAAATATTTTGGTGTGGTTGGATGAAAAATATTCTGAGCTGGTTAAATCAGAAAAAAATGTTATGATCCTCCGCTTTCAAATGCTTGTAATATTAAACACTTTTACTGTAGTTGAGTTACAATATGGTAATTTAGGCCCTTTCATTATTGATAATAACCGAGAAGTTCCGATTGTATGGTAATGATGATGTGATGTAAATGAAGTGTCTACGGAAATGTCCGAGTCATTGCGAAATTAAGTAGAAATTGAAAGTGAAACAGTGTGTAGGAGGTGTTATTTATTTCGACGAATTAGTTTTTATGACTATAGTTGTTATTGGTACGTGCAATTTCCCTGTGTACTCAAATACTACATTTTAGTCCTTGAAACTTACATGTTTATGTTTTACATAGACGACATTTCAAAGGAAATACGTATCATAGTCATAATTTCTAAAACTGGTGATACTATATTTGGGGGTTTTCGTAATTCCGACAGTGTATCCTTCTTTCGCTTTAATTTGTCTATCTCTTCACTGTTTATTTTATTCATTAATTCATTCGTTCGTTCGTTCGTTCGTTCGTTCGTTCGTTCGTTCGTTCATTCATTCATTCATTCATTTTGTATAATATTTATTTTCATTAGTTTTTATTGTTATTTATTTACTTATTTATTTATCTTAATTCAATTTAATCTATTTTTATCTATGGTGGGGGTGGGGTAATTTTTCATCAACAAAACGTGTTGACTAGCTTTTCAGTTTACTTCCTGGTAAACACATTTTCATTTTCCGATAATACAATGTATATACATACTTACATGTACGTAACGGACGGAAGTTGGTATAACTAGAGAGTAAAGAGAGAGTGAAATATCATAAATCTCTAATTAGTATATTGTTTGATATATGAGCCGCGTCACGACAAAACCAACATAATGGGTTTGCGACCATCATGGATCAAGACCAGCCTGCGCATCGGCGCATCTGATCAGGATCCATGCTGTTCGCTTACAAATCCTATAACAAGTAGAGAAACTGATAGCGAACAGTATGGATCCTGACCAGACTGCGCTGGTCTGGATTTATGATGGTCGCAAACCCATTATGTTGGTTTTGTCATGGCACGGCTCATATAATAAATTATGATAACTTGTTAATAATATGATGATTTGATTAAACTTTGATAAGCAATGGTTAATTGTATTTTCAAAGCAAAAACAATCATCGTCGGTGTGCTTCGAAAAGGCCCTATCTCAATTTTTGCGAAAATCGTTTTAGGTCATTTTCTTGACAAACAAACCATTGTGCGCATTGTGCGAAAACACCCGTTTAGATAGCCAATCGGAAAATGAATTTATTGCCATGTGAGAAAAAGACGTACAATTTTTGGATGAAAAATTTGTTCCGGGAAAATGCCCGATAATTTTTTGGAGTGAAATTAGAAAGTTAAAACGGAGGAAACGCGGGTTTTCTTATGAATGATTCAAAGATCAGGTATGCTTTTTCTATTTGACAGTGGAAATAATGATGTGTTTCGTATAGTATGTAGCAATATACTAAATAAAGCCATCAATACATTGGGCAAAGGGAATTTTACATACAACGCTTGTCGGCTAGGTGAAATTTTATGCTAAGAAAACTATTTTTAACTTGTTTTTCGTAAACTTTAGATTTTATTTTCATTCTTTACACCAAACTGTACCAAACTGATAAATCTGAGCTACATTAAAGCTGTTTAAATAACTTTTATATGTAATAGGGCGTTTTTGCATGCTCATTTTTTGGTGAGATTTGTCTTATAAGGCATTTTCTTATATATTTTGTAAGACAATATTTATGTTCCTAATATTCATACATTACTTTATTTAGACTTGTAGGAATTTATTTTCTCGGAGAAATAACATATAGTTTTCTTTAAAAAGATAATTTTTACATAAATAAATATACAACTACTAAATAAATAAATAAATAATTGTCTTAATACCACATAGATATGGAAACATTTATTTTTTAAGGATTCTCATAAAGATTATAATTAGAGTTATTAAAAGACAAAGCACGTACTGATCATCATCCGACTTAACTGGGATGTTATGTAAGATGGTTGCTACTTTAATTTTATAATCATTAAATTTTTTCTACCATTTCACTTTATTACAGGTGTCTGATGACCACCGTCATGATAAGTGTTCAATATTTAATTATTGGACTATTTGATTTGTAACAACTGCAAAGTGATGGCAATAACATGTAATCTATTTACAAAAGATGAGTACAACTTCTTGCAGAAATCATATTTTTTGAAAGACTTCAGCGGTCTCGTGTGGCTTAACCGGTGGGTAGGGCTTGCGGTTTTATCTTAAGTGTCTGCTGGGCTTCAGTCTAAATGCGACAAAGAAGGACAGTTGACTACACTACTTTTTCTTTCAAAGTCCAGTAAATGCCCAAGGTCGTCAATCTAGTGTAAACTCATTCGAAAAAGAGAAACCGGAAAATAATGTGAACAATGCAAAAAGTATCATGGTTTTTTGTTTAAACAATTTCCTGGAGAACATCTAGCCTGAAGACAATAAAGTAAATGAAATAATGTTGTTGTTACCAATACCAAAAATTGATACTTGGAAATTCTTAGTAAAGACTTGCAATCTAATATAATGTCAGGATATCACAGAAGCTTATACAATAAGGCCATGGTCAGATGTAGATGGGCGCAGTTCAAAGTCAAATTGAAGGGAAACTTAGAATCACACTTTTTCTCTTGTTAACTATGTTTGTTTGATTGGGTTTTACGTTACAACGACACAGTATAGGTCATATAATAATGGCAATGTCCCACCCAGCTTTACTGATGGAAGAAGACTTCAGTTGCCATTCCGTTCATTATTTTAGGCACGAACGGGCATCTAAGTAGAACCACAGACGTTCCTTAAGCTATCTCAGGATAGCTTCCTCACATGAAATAATCCAAAGTCTCTGTCAGGATTCGAACCCATAGTGGTGAGGGCAAGTGCTTTGAAGTCAACGGCCAGTGACGCTTGCTCGCCCGAGTTACCCTTATGAGGTTCAATAAAAAAGGCATGATTTCTTGAAGAACTTTACGATTTGGCGATTGTATTAAAGCATTAGACAGGGAAATACTTGTTAGAACAATATGACTTGGTGGTTTTGATGTGACACTTTTAGTATTTGCTAAATACCTTTTTGTTTGTCATGAAGCAGCATATTAATAACATGAATTTTTATTATATATAGAGAGTAATAATTAGATAAATGAGAAATAGCCCATTTTATGAAATGTTTTGTTTTCCATTGACCGTATATATATCTAGATTCATGCTTATTTTCACTAAAATTTCGAAATGTTCTTTTGAAATGTTAAATACTGTGAAGTGAACAACAAAAGAAGTACATGTAAAACAAAGTTCAAACAGCACTTTACATCCAGTTGAATGATCAAAAGTGAACAAAATCTGCAAAGATAACAGTCATGCAATAAAATTTTGTAATAAAAATTGTAAAACACGCATTAATCGACCAAAAACATAATTTTTTTACTTAAATCATAATACTTTTCTTCAAATCTTTTTACATTTATTAAATGTTTCGCTTATCTGAAGGCATGAAGCTCTTAGAACTTAAGAACTTGGTATTAGGATTGATGATTTTATTGGCATGGTTATTGTGCAGTATACAATGTACTTCATTGGTGAAGCAAATTTGATTACATGTTTAAAAAGGTTTAATGTTTTGGAATGTGTGTAGGTTTTTTGTTTCATTTTTCAATATTTATTGTTGTCTTAAAACATAATTACACTTTATTCCCCAAATCCTTGAATTATTTTAGGAACATACATGAATCGTACTGGTAATATGTGTCTCTTTATGCCATTATGAATTTAACAACAGTATGTTTACGTGTGCGAAAGGGCCTTATAAGGCCATTTGAGACACCAATTTGGCCATTTTTGCCGTGTGAAAAGGACTTATGAGCATTTATTATGAAACAGCAGGGTTTATCATAACCGAATAAAATGTATCTAAAATGAATTTAAATGTTCATTATTATCTGTTAATTTCATTTCTGTGGATGTTTCCCTACCAAAACTAGACGGTTTTTTTCCATCTCCTGAAAAGTAGCAATTTTGCAGATAAGGCCTTTCCTAAGCACACCGACGTCATGTTATTTACTTTATTGTTCAAAGGCTTTCAAAACTATATACTGCACATTGTTTTATTTGAAACT